AGGGTGCCAATGTGGTCATGATATTTATGGCTGATTGATGTATATTAGATAGATAGATAGATAGATAGATAGATAGATAGATAGATAGATAGATAGTCAGTCTTAAGTACACTAAACTGGTTGTTGTTTTTCTTTAGTAACCTTATTCATTAAATTTTAAAAAGAAAACCAGGCTTCTATACTTGAAATAGAAGTAAAGTTTCGTTGTAACTGCACTGCAGCTGGATGAAAGGTGCATCTTTGCGTTGAAAATAATTAAATGTCTAAAATTTAAACTGAAATGCAGTAAAAAGTCAGATATTTGCTTTCTTTCATTTAACAATAATGTATAAGATAGTAGTAGTTTGGGAGGCCTTTTACATATCTGATTTATTAAGAATTAACAAAGGAAGAACTAGAGCAGTACCATAACTGAAGAGAACACCGAAAACATTCGCAGCATGCAGTATTTTCCAAGGACAAATTAAAAGAGTAATTTTGGATGTTACTCCTTTTATTGACCAATGTTTTTATGGCATCCCTTTTCAGTGATCATAGATTCTGCCTCTGAAGTGTCATTTTATTCTCTCTCACTTCACCTCTGTGTTGTGTCTGTGTGTTGTTGTGGGGAACCCAGGCGGTAGTGAAACTGATGCTTGTAAAGAGAGAATAACTAATATAGACACATCCATTGCTTGAGAAAAAGGGTAAATGGCTTCACCCTCACCTCATATCTCTCCCCCTTGGCTTCTGCATTCACAGAAAACTGTATGTTTTTCTACTGGGTAGATACTGAGTGTCAGTATTTTGGAAATTCAAGAAAATCAACTAATACTATTTGCAGTTTGGCTTGTTTTGATGCTATTTTGAGGAATTTCAGAAACATTAGGTTGGTCAGTAATGTGTGTCTAATATACTTAAACACATGGCTCAAACTTTCTGAATTATGCTTTTCATACAAAAGATATTTCAAACATACTCATGTATACACAGTATATATGCTTCAGCAACAGGGAAAAACATGATCCATAATGATGCAATGAGAGCTCTTCACGACGCACCTGTCAGATATGTGATTGCAGAAGTCATAGTTACAGACAGCATTGTCTCTTTTAGACACAAACAGAGAGGAATCACAGATAACACTGTGCAAACGAGCCGGTCCCTTCAAAACCTCTCTCCTCCATCCACTAGCAGCTGTCCATCATTGTGACTGGCAGCTCAGAGGAGGGCTCTGACGGGCAGATGAGAGCAAGAAGCCGATCTCTGCCTCAGAGGCAACAGCGGCAGTCCTGTGTTCTCCTGCCCACCTCCCACCACCTCCTCCTGCTCTCCTGCCCGCCTCCCACCGCCTCCTGCAGGCCCTCCTCCCTCCTCTGCCTGCAGCCAATAAAAAGTGGACATCATCTCATGGAGGAGATGTACTGTTTACAGGGACCAGAGTGCTCTGTCTGTCTGACTAGTTGGCTATTGTTAAAACATCAAGGCAGGACAAGAAAGTGCAACATACATAAACTTGTCACCAAGAGCAACAGCTGCATTTAAGAGTGTCACTCTGTAGAGCTCTGAGAAACTTCACTAAACATTCTTGCACGAAGAGACTTCGTGCCGCTGCTGTGCCTCCTTCTCCAGGCTCACTTTGCTTACCACGTCTACCTTTAAATTCTTCTTTTTTACCTGCATCATGCCCTCCAGGTCTGACCTCTATCTCCAGGACCACCTTCAGCCTCTTTTTTTATGGACCTGTGCCTCTCTCCACAGGACACCTTACCTCGCTCCCCAGGCTCACCTTGTTCTGCAGGCCCGCCTCGTTCACCAAGCCCACCTCCTTCTCCAGGCTCCCCGTAGCCACTTGACTTTCAGCTGCCTCTGCAGGCCCAGCCTTCACTCCATAGGCCCTCGCTAGTCTCCAGGCTCCTCATGCCCACAGCTAGAGTCTCTTTGATGTTGCCCTCCTGGCAGACAACATAGAGGTTGGTGGATGGATTGGTGTGTGTGTGTGTGTGTAGAGCAAACACACTTGTGTACACACACACAAACACTAAAAAGAAAAAAATCACACGTGCACAGCAGCTTGTGTGTGTGTGTGAGAACCATACTGGAATACACTCTTTTCTTGTTCACACACACAAACATAGAAAAAAGGCAAACATGAAAAAGACTGAGTGATGAGCGGCTGACAGCAGCTCGACTGGCTCAGCACGGTCTGGCCACAGTGGGCGGGGCTTCTTCTGCAGATTGACACATGTCACCACCAATAAGACTCCAGTCCTTCAGCAGTCAAACCACACCAGGCTGGCTCGCAGCCCCTGGGAAGATACCACTGACAAAAAATTAATTATAATTGAGAGGTTTTCAATAGAACATTCATAAACAGAATGGAACTGGCACAAATTACTTGAAAACCGCACAAACGTAAAATAAAAAAAGTAAGTAGATTCAAGTAAAATCCAGATCTCTAATGAAATGTTTCCACTACTGATAATATATGTATTGAAAAAAAGGGTTATAATGAATTGTTACATTTTATGTCGAGGGTTTTGCATAAACACTAGTTACTGAGGAAGCAAGTGTATAATTTTCAGGGATACAAAATAAGATAAGAACTTTATTTGTTGCAAGTAGTAGGAAAGAGTGCAAATATAAAATAAGTAAAGGTGCAAGTATAGAAATATCAATAAATTATCTATAATGCTGAAACATTGCTGTGTTTTACATTATGCTTTTCAGCATAGAGCAAAATCAACAACAATCCTCAAAACCAGAATCTTAGTGATGCCTGGTTTAATCAGAGCACAATATACTGGAATATCCATGATATTTATTTCAAGTTAACATGCAAGTTAAACTTTATCACCCCCAAAAAATATATTAATTTGGTTGGGAGTGCAGAAGCTACACAAACACAATATAATAACACAAAACAAACAACAAAAACAAGGACATTTCTCATCGTACATTTTACTGCCAGTCTGCAATGATTCAAATTTGTAAAGTCAAACCTGTGGCATAGATATTTTGTTAAAGCTGAAAAATTCCTTGATAATATGGACCCTGAACCCAGCTCCTTAGCCAACTACTGTATTACCTGTGAGGGAAATCCAAACATGCCACACCACGTTGGTGTCTGAGGTATTATCCAGTTTCCTTTTATACAGCCCATTGATCAATCATATGACGCACAGATTCAGAGTATATACAAAAATAACATCATAATCATCTTTGAAATACCATATTCACTTTGGGTGGATACAATTTAGAAGAGAAATATAAGTGACCTTAAGTGCAAAAAATTTGATATTGCAACCAATATATACAACAAAAATACAACCTGTTTTCTTAACCCATCAGTGGGTGGGTAAAATATGCAGTAGTGGAATCTCTACAGGAGTCCCACTCTGGACCTTCAAAACAAAAGAATTCATAAAACATTTAACATTTAAACATTGAATGTGAATGTTGAAACCATCAGTCTAAATAGCTTCTCTATGTCAATTACATGTCACTTTTCCACCCACGTAGATGTTAAATTGTCTTGTTATGTAAGTACACTGGTGGTTTCAGTGAATTTCATGAGCAAATGTTTCAAGAATACAGACTGAGGTCAGAAGGTCATTTTATTCCTTACACTTAATTCATTCCACTGGACTGACGGTTTCTAACCCGCCAAAGAACCTGTTAAAAACTTTGTGGAGCAGTTCTCCAGTGGTCAAGTTTCTCTGAGCTAATCTTTTGTACTTCAATAAAAAAAAGAATTTGCATTGCAAATGATCCCTGATGAACTGACCGTTATCAGTGGAGAGCTATAATGGCGGTGCGTTTGCTGGCCTCATTTGAACACTCTGGAGGCGATCTTAGGTCTCAGCTCAACACCCTTTGACATTCAGTGATGACACCTGATGTGCTCTCTATATGAATTAAAGCCAAAGTCAGAACAATTAGGTGTCAGTATTCCTCTAGAGTCTTGCGAGAGACACATCAGCTCTTAAAAGGAACATTTTGCTCCAGTTATTGCTCTTCAAGGGGATTATGCTTTTTATAGAAATATAGGAATTCACTTACTTCTCCCTCAAGGGGTACTACTTAAATGACATTTTTGTCAAGCAGATTATGACAAACTTTAGACTTCTTATTAAATATTACATGTCACAGCCCATCAACCTTGATGTTGAGAGCAACATTAGAAGCTCTGTAATGATCAAATGTGGTTTTGATTTGAAATGAGACAACAATGAGACGCCGTCAGAGGAGGATTCACATGCTTTAGCTCGCAGTTGTTGCTGGATGTACGGCCTATGGCTCGCAGGCTGCTGCTAGCGCTCTGCCAGGCAGATGAGAGCCGGGTTAATGTTGGGATTTGTTCCCTAAAGCTCCGACACAGAGGAAATACTGATCAGCTCTGCCGTCAGCCTCAAGACCTGCTAATCGCTAATCAGCACTTACACAGCCTCTGTCTGACTCACACACACACACACACACACAACACACACACACAACACACACATACATACAGGTTGAGTAGTGACACAATTCACGCCTAAGTATTATGTTGTGTGTAAAGCTGAAATATACAACAGTATGTCATGAACTTTTAAATGTTTCACTTTTTCTGCATAAAGGAAAATCAACAACAATCCTCAAAACCAGAATCTTACTGATACCTGGTTTCATCCAACCGTGAACTGTATATCAAGTTCACATGCAAGTTAAACTTTATTATCCAAAAAATGGATATTTACTTAGTTTAGAGTAATTCAGGTTTCATTCAGGTCAGACTACAAACTGCTTCTTTTTACCTACAAAACTCTTCATGGGGTAGCGCCGCTTTACTTGGCAGAACTCCTCACACCTTAGATGCCCTTACTTAGATCACAGGATGCAGACTTTTTCATTAATCTAAAGCTTAATAAGCAATCGGCTGGTGGCAGAACATTTTCTTCCACTGTTATTCTTTACACCGCTCGAACAGAGAGGTAAAGACTGCTTTTTTTTTAAACTTCTGCTGCAAATGCGACCCCGCTCTGGTTTTTATCCTCATTTGCAGTCTTTTCCACAATCAAGCAAAATATATTGATATAAGTTTGACTTTATTTATTATCTCTCATCTCTGAAATTCTCTTCTTTCTTTTATTCGTAAAGTGCACTGAGACGCTGTGAATTTACAATCAAAATCAACTTAGTACCTACTTGCTTGCTTAGTCAAAAGATGCACTTGAATTGATAACCATCATCTTTTTGGTTGTTTTTATTAATTTATTTTAGCCTTTATTTAAATATTGCATTATTGCAATTTTCCCAGTCATCATATTTGATTTACCTGTTTTTAGGTATTTTGCACAAAACTTAAAGATGTAGTGTGACTAATAACTAACACAGATCATTTTACCCCTATTCAAATCATTTAAATGTAACATTTTTACTACACATTCTGTCATTTTATTGCCGCAGAACTTCCAAACCAGCCCACAGAAATTTCCCTGGATCCAAAGGATAATATGAGGAAATCAAAGTGTATTTATGTATATTAATTCGGAATTTAAAGTGTAAAATGTCTAATTTTGAGCAGAGGTCTTTTCAGTGACTATATAATAATCCGAACTGCATCACATCCATTACAGCCGAGGTGGAGCACATCTGATTTGTAATAAAAAGGACAACATCCAGCCTCAGCATCAGTCTGTCCACCCGGCAGTTTCCTGTGATTAATTCAACAACTCAATCACATCCAATATTCACAGCTGATTTCACTCTCCTTAGCTCCCCTCGAAACCACGATGATCAAGAACCCACCTCAGCTATCTTAACCTCCTCAACCACGCGCAGGTACTTCCTGTCTGTCCCACCCCCCACCCCCACCAACCCCCCCTCCTCCATTCCTCAGAATTGGGGACCAGTATTAATGGCAGAGGTCAATAGTGGATATAGATTCTTAGGTGGCCGCCTTACTTCACAGGAATCTATTGGATTCTGGTATTAAGAAGTCAGTGATACCGGCACAGGCCGGACTCACCTGCAAGGATCAAATTACGCCGGGTTCAAACATGCCGGCGTTCACAGGGAGAACACATCTTATTAATTAATAATAAGAAACTTCTAGAAACTCTTGTCTGAAGGGAAAAACCTCCAAGCTCTTGTGGGTGGAGAGACAGGAGAATTTTCTAACTATACCTGCCGAGATGAGAAAGAGACGACAGGGGGGAAAAAGAGAGAAGACCGACCAACCATTCGTAAAATCACCTATAATAAATGACAATATTAAATGAGTTACTGTTTGATAGTGGAATTGATCATTTACAAAAAGTTGTGTGTGTGACTGTGTTGTGTGTGTCGGGAGGAGACAGATGGATAAGGAAGATGGTTAAAAGACTCATTAGATCAAGAACACGAGTGTGTGTAGGCGTGTGAGTGTGTGTGTGCGCACATGTGTGTTTAACTCATTAAGGGAGTCTATTTGAGTTTTCCTTTGTTGTCAGATTTGATGATTTGGGGGAAATTTCCAGCCTTGGATTCAAAGCATTCTTGTTCAGCGTTCCAAGCCTGCGGCGTCAGGGAACGAAACACTCGGCATTTATATTTAATGATATCAATTTATCAACAGGAACAATCTCAGGATGTTGGCTCAGATTTGATTCCATGTTCCCCTGTTTTTACCTGAGGGACACATGCACACGTTTTCTCATCGCCGTGCCATTACCATACTCCTCTCTTTCTCTCACATCTGTGCACTGATAATAACCAACAACTTCCTGACAGTGCAGTTCAAGCTGTGCCTACACTTACTCACAGTACCGCAGAAGCACTGAGACGGCGGCGCTGGAGAGATGGCGAGGTTTCACATGCTACATGCAAACCTTACAAGATGAAACCAAAAAAATAAATAAACGTAGGCAAGTTAGAAAAATGATGAATGGAAT